CAAGTTTAGTTTAGTTTTACAATTGGATATATTAAAATTTCAGTGCCAAAATTGCCTGGGTTGAATATTACACTTGTAAAATATGAAGCATGTTCCTTCTACCAAAAGGAACTAGAACTCTTTCTTTCGTTAAGAGTGACCTGACTCAGAGCATTCCTTGTGACATATTTGGGGTGGGTCTTTGTCTAATGTCGAAAGGTACCCATCCTGTTAAACAAACACTTTTTAAAGAATTGAACCACTGTTGCTTACATCTCAAGAGGAATAGTAAATTATGACCCTAAAGAAGTTATTTTTGCCTCATGTAACTTTTTCTATCTAATAGAAAATAAGTCCCCACTGTAACAAAAAACTAAAAATTCTTACCAAAAAAAAAAATCTTCATTAAGAATGGAACATTTATTTGCAGGCAGAGCAAGGGCTGCATCATGCTCTGTAGAGACCACAGGATACGTTTCCTTCTTTAGAATCCATGTAAAGGTCCATTACCTCTAGCATACCTATGGCGAGACACAAAGAGGATTTCTGATCCACTTCAATGGAGTTGGCAACTCTCCCTCATTATTTAAGAACAGAGAGAATTAAATCACTTGAGTACCTTAGTGTGGCAGCAAAACAGAACCCAGGAGGTACCCTGCTAGCATGTTCAGAGATTATGACGTCACCTAATCTCAGACCCAATTGATGGCTTGATGACAATAGAGAATAGTCTGGATTTTTCTAAATGTGCATGTGTATACACATTCACTCTAAGAAGTCAGAGTGAAACCCTCAGCAAAGCCTTCCAACATGGTGGACTCTCCACATCTTCTCCCCACATCTGGAAACCCATTCCCTGAGATAAAAGTGGCTACTAATGAATGACCAGGGTAACAACCAGACAACCAAGAGTTGCAGCACCACCTTAGAGCAAAACTGACATGTGAATAGTGAAAGGAAGGGACCCTCACTGCTTCTCCAAGGCAGCTCTCCTCAGTGGCATTCACTGCAATGAAGAGCTACAATTTAGGTCAGACACTGGGTGGCACTAGCTTCCACTTGAGGACTACATTCCCACAGTGTAAGCCTCTCTGCTCTTCAAGTTCTAGGAGATAAGAGAAGGCAAAAAACCTTAGAAGTGTCCCCACTAGAACACCACTACTTGCCATTTACATGTCCTTTGGATTTTTGGTTTTTTCTTTCATTTTTTCTTTTTTTGGTGATACTGAGAATTGAACCCAAGGGTACTCTACCACTGAACTACACCCCCAGCCCTTTTATTTTTTATTTTGAGACTGGTGAAAGTTGTGAAGGCTGGCTTTAATTTTGTGATCTTCCTTGGGCTGGGGTTGTGGCTCAGAGATAGAGCGCTCGCCCAGCATGCTTGGGGCACTGGGTTTGATCCTCAGCACCACATAAACAAAGATATTGTGTCCACCCAAAAAACTAACAAATAAATATTAAAAAAAAAAAAAAAACTTGTGATCTTCCTGCCTCAGCCTCCTAAATAGCTGGGATTACAGGTGTGTGCCACCATGACTGGCTCCTTTGGCTTTCGTGTACATTATTTCACAAGACCCTTCAGATGACTCTGCAAGATAAGCAGGACAGGCATCCACTCAATTTTACAGATGAAGAAGTGGTGACTCTGAGGCTAAATGACTCACCTGTCCAATGTCACAGGTCAGGCAGTTATAATTAGCAGTCCAACAGAAGTGAACCCAACCCACACACTCACCAGCCAAAGCAGATTCTAGGACACCACCCTGCTTCCTTATGTTTATAGATGAGAGGCCATAGAGTGAGGGTTAAGAGCCTAGGTTCTGGGCTGGGGATGTGGCTCAAGCGGTAGCGCGCTCGCCTGGCATGCCTATGGATCTGGGTTCGATCCTCAGCACCACATACAAACAAAGATGTTGTGTCTGCCGAAAACTAAAAAATAAATATTAAAATTCTCTCTCTCCCTCCCTCTTTCTCTCTCACTCTCTCTCTTAAAAAAAAAAAAAAAAAGAGCCTAGGTTCTGGCACCACCAGATCTGCACTGCAGTCCTAGCTCTGCTATGAGCTGTCTGACCCTGTGCAGATTCCTTAACCTCCCCTCACCTGTTTCCTCACCTGTAAATGGGGAAGGAGGGAATAGCCTTACCTCACAGTTATAGTGATGGCTAAATGAGATGATGGACATGATCACTCAAATTCATTCAATCAGTGAATACTTGTGCCAGGCAAGAGCTAAGTTACAGCAATGATCAAGAGACACAGTTCTGCTCTCATGAAGCTTAGAGTTTAAATACTACTAAAGTGTGTTAAGAATTAAGGTAACAGTGAGTGACTGGAACACACACATGAAGGGCCAGTTTTTAACAGTGGTCCAAGGTGAAATTTCGGTTGAGCTCTGAAGGGTCCAAAAGTGGTCACCCATTCCCAGCTCAGCAACATGTGTGAGGGTCACAGCATGGGGAAGCCAAGGTATCCAGAAGATAAACGTGACTGCAGTATACCCTCTCATGGGATTTTGGGAACAACCTTTATAGGCTGCCACCAATGAGGATTGCCACATCTATTTTTAAATAACAAAGATGAGGCTAGAAAAAGGTGATATGTCTTGTCCAAGGTCACAGCAACCCAAAGGAGCTGGGACTAGAAGCTCTTAGCATTCTACTTCCCAAATCAACAATGTCCATGGTTTTTACTTGTTTCACTAATCATTGCTTCCTGTGCCATGAAGAGTCCCAAAGCACCTTGAAAACACAAGCAGCAGTAGTACAGAAGCAGCTTCCAGGCCTCTACTTGACTGTGCGTGGAATCCCTGACTCTGAGCCTTACCATGCAAGACAGGAAGCTTCTCAGACTGACTCAAAGGCTCCAAAGTAGAAATGAGATTCTCTTCTTGCAGCAATGAACAAGAGAGAGAAGGGATGTCCCAGAAAATCCTGTGGTCTGTTCACAATAGGAGACAGAATCATCAACGCACATGAGGGCTCATCTCATACCAAAAGGGTATTTAAGAACTTGTAGAGGCATTTTGGGGTGAAATGCAGGGCGATGCTGGCTTAAGCAGGTGAGGCTAGGTATGCTCAATGTCTTGCAAAAGAACAGTATGGTCCTATATAGTAAAGAATGTACTATCCAGAATATTAACAGCAGCCTCCCTTGCACACTTTAGAGACAGCCTCTCTTAAAAGATCAATATGCTCCAACTTTTCCTGTACCCCCACAGTTCACTGGCTCTCCCTATCCTCATCACAACTGAATTAAAACAAAATTAAGATAAGGAGTGTGAAGTTTTGGAAGTCCAGTTGTAAGCTCATAACTCTAGCATGGAAGCTGGTAGTGAAATAAGGATAAGGAAATTTCTAGTAAGAGACAGACTTAAGAAATGTTACCAAAAAGAGAACTTTCTTCCTCACTCAAATAAGCTTTTGTAATACATTTATTTTATTACACATGAAATTCTGTGATTTTAGGACCTATTTACAGTGCTTTTCACTTGAAAACCAGAAATAAGTGACAATTCTTTAAAAAAAAAATTTAACTACAATCATTTCACAAATACAGTTGACTCTTTCAGGACTAAACTGCATAAGAAAGATTATTAATTTCAAGATGCCTAAAGCTGATCAAGTGACTGAAAGTGCCAAAGGCAGACCTGCCTTGCATCTCATTCCTGGTAGTTTCTGCAGGTCAGAGAAGCGCCAATGATATTGAGATCTGTTCTGGGATTAAAACACCATTTTTAACAGCAACTCAAAAGCTATTTCCAAGTGTTACCTAAATGACCCACTAGGTCTCTCCAAAATTATTTCACAAATTAAAGCTCATGTAATTGACAAAGAAAGAAACATAGATCACTAACTTTGCAGGAAAGAGAAAGAGATCCAAAGAGTCTACCCTAATTCCAAATAGCTACAACAGTGATCCAATAGATTAAATTCTCTATGAAGTAAGTACCCTAAGGACAGGAATCTTCCTCCTCCAAAATACCTCAATTTTCTCAACTAACCCAAAGGAGTCAGAGTGTGTAACTTCTTCACTCACCTTGCCAATTAGCTCAGGAGCCCCACACCCCTCTTGACCAATTTTCTAGAAGCCTGACCTGGCTTTTTCAAGTAGCCAAGCAGACAGACCTGTTTTCCTCCAGAAGCACCTACCAGGCCTTGTCTACCCTGCGGGCCAGAACCCGGGAAATCCCCCAGAAGTTCACAAATGAATTCATCCAGATTCTTTGAACCTTCCTCTTCCCAGGTCATGTGCTAACACCCAGGCAATAATACCCCACCTTGCCTAGCTCTGGGTCAAAAAAGATGCAGATTCACTGGAAGATTGAGCACTTCATACGGAGCAGAAGAAAAAGAAAAAAGATGGAGGGTTGTGAAAGTCGTTTAGCCAAGCCTACTGCATGCAGCACTAGTGACCAGAGCCCTGGTCCTGCAAATCCAGGGAAGGAGGCCCTCCACACAGCAGGCCACACCTGTCTATGCCAACTGCCTGCTCCATTTTAAACAGTTCAAACATATCACCAGTAGGGTGACAAAATTGGGCACCCCCCTCTAACAACATGGTTGAGAGCACTAATGCAAGCACTACTTGCCCCCAGTTTTAATTCTTTTCACATTCTTTGTTTAGGAGACACGGGTCAAATCTATCCCCCCCTCTAGCACAATGCTGCAGTGGCAGAAAGCAAGCACCAAGGCTGACTTGCTGTGAGCCAGACAAAACCTCTTCCCTGAGGATGGTGATGCCAACAAATGAGACGTCAATGGGCAGGTTCCACTTTGCCTTCTACAAGTGAACACACTCCGGGAGTTCAAACACGCCCGGCTCGGCAGCCTCACAGAAAGCCTCCTTTCTAGACGGGAGGTATCCCATTCATCCTCTGGTATGGAGAACCAAAGGAAAGGCGGACACATGCAGGAGTGCGCTCCATACCCAAACCTCAGCACGCGCGAGAAGGTTTGGGGTGCCCTGGCGCGCCCACCCTGTACCCCACCCTCCAAGGCCCCTACCACCCGCGTACTCACCACTGTGCGAGCTGAACCACCTGGGTGCGATGTGCAGAGGTAGAGCATCCGCCAGCGAGGCTCGGGAGCCCAGGTACAGCATCCCGTCTCTATGGTGACCGCCGCCCGTCTCCTGGTAACCATTGCCGTGGGCATAGGTGGAGTCGGACGCGGACCCTCCGCCGCCCGGCGCTCTCTCTGAGTCGCCGGTCCCCCGGGAGGCGGGGGTGTAGAGGCCAAAGGGCACCCCCCCGGCCGTGCTGGGGTCCATGCCCATGCCCGCCACCGAGCTGACCGAGCGGCTGCGCAACCCCATGGCCCCGCCGCCCGTCCGGTAGTGCCCAAAGTGGGGAGCCCCTCCCGGCGGGGGCACAGCGCTGTCATCGGTGGAGACCCCCGGGAAGGGGCCCCTGGAGCGGGCCGCCGTGCTCTGCTTGCCCCCCATGCTCGCCCGGGCCTCGGTGGGGCGGGAACCTAGAGGCCGAGACCCTCCCCCACTTCTCAGCAGCGGGGGGAGGGCTGGGCGAGCATAAAGGGGGAGGGAGTCAAAAAGGAGACCGGGAGGAAGAAAAGGAAAAAGCCAAAAAAACAAAAAAGCAAAAAGCAGAAAAATCGCGGGGCGGAAGAGGCAGGCGGGCGGGGACCCCAAACTAAGAATTTAAAACGATCCAAGCCAAACGCATGTTTCCCCTCAAGGTCCAAAGAGGCGCAGTCCGGCGCGGGCTCCGCGCGCCACAGGCCGCCCCCGGGCTCCGAAAGCCAGGGGAGCCGCAGGGAAGGAGGGAGGGAGGCGGCGGGCGGACGCAGGGAGGCGCCGGAGGAGGCCGCCCGCCCCACAGCAGCAGGCGGAGGAGGGCTGGGGGCGCTGGACGCGTCCCCCGCCTCAGGACGCGGCGACCATGGACGGCGGCCCGGACCCCTCCAGGCCTCGGGCGGGCTGCGGCGCTGGGCGGCCAGGCGGAGCTCGGGAAGCCGCGGTCGCGTCGCGTCGCGCTCTCGCCCTGGCCGCCGCCAGCCCCGCCAGCCGCGCCGCCCCGCTCGGTCCCGGGCAGCGCTCGCCGGCTCCTCGCCGCCGTGCAGACAATGGAGGGCGGCAGAGCGCAGGCGCGGCCCGCGCCCCCTCCCTCCCGCCCTCCGCGTTAACCCCTTCGCCGCGCCCGCGGCGCCGGGGCCGCCGACGTCCGCGAGGTCCCCACCCACCCGCCGCCCGGGCCGGCCGGGGACCGCGTGGCCTGCGCCGCGGGGCGTCGGCGACGGTAGCAGGTCGTGGTTCCGAAGCCAGCTCTCCAAGAGTCCCCGAGAGCGGCTGATTATTCCAGGGGAACCACGAGTGGAGGAGGGGCGGCCAGGGTTTTAGGCGATGGGAAGGAAACGCCGGGAAGAAAGAAAATTAGCCTGTACGCCTACCTGACTCCGAGGGTCGCGGGTCGAGCTCCCCTCCCGCACAAATCTGCCCCCACAGCACCCTCTGGTGGACGTGCCGTCCATTCTTTCGGAGGTTCTGATCCCAGGACCCCAACGTCAGGGCTTAGCATCTGTGCAAGAGAGTGAGCTGTTTGAAGGTGCAAGAGTACCTGGGGCACTAGTGAATCGGGACCCAGGGGTGGCTTTGCACACTAAGATCAGAACTTTGGGGCCGAGACAAATGAGTCGATTCCTTAGCTAAAAGGTAATTCTCAAAATGTACAGGTGTAGGATAAAGAGTGAGAAGATATAGATAGGGAAATAGAAATCATGCAGCTAGGAGTGATTTTAGAAACTCTTTGTCCAAGCCAGACCCCTGTTTTATTTACCATGCATTTTGACACATGCCACAAAGTAAGGACACAGTCAGTATTGAATAACTATTTGTTGACCAAATCTGCCTTTTGCAATAGAGAATCACCTTTCCATCTCGGTTGCTGTGTTTCTCACATAGACAACATTCATTCATTCATTCTTTGAACAGCTGTTTTTCTAGTGCTAAATGCTAGCTCTGAGCATCACTCGTGCCTGGCCTAACTGACTTCCTGCCTCTTAAGAGCCTCCAGATACTTCCAAACCAGGGAACCCAAACAGGAAAAATATTAAAAGAAAACATAAGAGATAGGTATTGATTGTTCCAGTATGACCAGCCTGGAAAGCAACAAGAAGATGACATTTGTAAGAAAGGAGTGCCTGAGGGTGAGCAAAGAGCTCTGTATAAAAAAGTTGAAAGTTTCGCATAAGGAATAAAAGTAAGAAGAAACAAAATAAGCCAATATCCAAGAAGTTATTTGCAAGTATCTAAATGAGGAGTTTATGCACATTTGAAATCCAAATGAGTGATCTGAAGAAAAGCAAGAAAGCTTACATTTAACCCAGTTTTGTCACAGAAGAAAGACTATAAAATCAGGAATAGGTTTGGTTCAGTTCAAAAAATTAGATACTACTTCCCTAGCAAATAGGCCCCTACTTGGGAGATAAATGCACAATAAGCATTGTAACTGTCCAAGTAGCTTTTGATTTACTTATCCATACAAAACTTTTTGAATGTGATTAACAAAATATTTAGTATCTGAGTGCCAGCACTGTACTAGACTCTGGATATAAGTGAACAAAACAGATGGAATCCCTGCTGTCACAGAACTTCAGAAGAACCATTTTGCACCTACTTGGACAACTATAATCAAAGAGAAAGACAATAACAAATGTCAAAGAGAAGTGGAGAGATCAGAACCCTTTTACCACCGCAGCAGCTTAGAAAACAGCCTGGCAGTTCCTCAAAAAAGATTAAACATAGAATTACTGTATGATCAACAAATAACCCAATCAATAAATGGACCAAGGACATGAACAGACACTTCTCAGAAGAGGATATTCAATCAATCAACAAATACATGAAAAAATGTTCATCATCTCTAGCAATTAGAGAAATGCAAATCAAAACTACTCTAAGATACCATCTCACTCCAGTCAGAATGGCAGCCATTATGAAGACAAACAACAATAAGTGTTGGCAAGGATGTGGGGAAAAGGTACACTCATACATTGCTGGTGGGTCTGAAAATTGGTGCAGCCAATATGGAAAGCAGTATGGAGATTCCTTGGAAAACTTGCAATGGGATCACCATTTGACCCAGCTATCCCTCTCCTCAGTCTATACCCAAAGGACTTAAAAACAGCATATTACAGGGACACAGCCACATCAATGTTTATAGCAGCACAATTCCAATAGCTAAACTGTGGAACCACCTAGATGCCCTTCAGTAGATGAAAGGATTTTTAAAAAGTGGCATATATACACAATGGAATATTACTCAGCAATAAAAGAGAATAAAATCATGGCACTTGCAGATAAATGGATGTTGTTGGAGAAGATAATGCTAAGTGAAGTTAGCCAATCCCCCAAAAAACAAATGGCAAATGTTTTCTCTGATATAAGGTGACTAACTCATAGTGGGGTAGGGAGAGGAAACATGGGAAGAATAGAGGAACTCTACATAGGGCAGAGGGTGGGAGGGGAATGGAGGGGACAAGGGGTTAGCAATGATGGTGGAATGTGATGGACATCATTATCCAAAGTATGAAGACATGAATTGGTGTGAACATACTTTGTATACAAACAGAAATATGAAAAATTGTGTTCTATATGTGTAATAAGAATTGTGATGCATTCCGCTGTCATGTATTTAAAAAATAAAAGCAACTAAAAAAAGAATTACTATATGACCTAGCAGTTTCACTCTTTGGTATTCTTCCAAGAGAACATACATACATAAGAAACAAGTTTGTACAGGAATATTCACTGCAGCATTATTTGAAAGAGTCAAAAAGCGGAAACAACTTTTTGACTCTTTCAAATAATGTCCATCAACTAATAAGCAACTCAACCAAGTTGGTATATCCACACAATGGAATATTGTTCAGCCATAAAAATAAATAGCATACCAATGCATGCTACAACGTGAATTGAAAACATCATTCTAAGTAGTCAGTCACAAAAAACTGCATATTGATCCAGGCACAGTGGCCTATACTGGTAATCCCAGCGACTCAAGGTCTAGAGGCTAGCCTCAGTAATTTAGTGAGGCCCTGACTCAAAATAAATAAAAAAGGACTGGCAATGGAGTTCTGTGGTAAAGCTTCCCTGGGCTCCAACCCCAGTCCCAATAAATAATTGCTGACTAAGTGCATGAATGATTAAGTGCTATGGGAGATGAAAAGACAGGAAATGGGTACCAACACGATCCAATGATTCTGAATCAAGACCTGAAAAAACAAGTTGGAAATTAGCCAAGTGAGGAAGTAGGACAGGTAGAACTGTGTTTGAGGAAAAGAGTGTTCCAGACAAAGGAAACAGCATATTCAAAGGCCCAGAGGTGACAATAAAGACATGTTGGAAGAAATGAAAGGCTATAGAACTGCAACAACAGTGGGGCTGGGGGTATAGCTCAGTGATAGAACACTCCCCTGGCATGCAAGAGGCCCTGGGTTTGGTCCCCAGTACTTCAAGGAAAAAAAGAAAAAATAGTTAATGTGCCAGGGGCAGGCATGGATATGGAAGGAGTAGAAGTCCTTCGTTGCCCTCCATGTAGGGATATTGAATGCAGAAATGGCCCTAGCTAGATTTGGACCTCCATTTTTTAAAAATTTGTTTTAGTTGTTGATGTGCCTTTATTTTATTTATTTGTATGTGGTGCTGAAAATCGAACCCAGTGCCTCGCACATGCTAGGCAAGCACTCTATCACTGAGCCACAACCCCACCCCCATTATTTTTTTTTTTTTGTTTTTATCTTCATACCCTCACTGATCATGACTGAGCTGCTCTGTGGCACTCCTTGGCTGTGAAATAGGGTTAACAAACTGTGGATCCCACCTACCAGGAGAAAGAGCTGATAAAATCAGTGTTGCCAAAACCCTTTGCGGATGTGCAGAGTGTGCAGCAAATGTGTAGAACTATGCTGCAAAGCCCTGGTTTTAAACGTCTTAGAACAATGTAAGTTTAGGGCTTGCACAGTTCAGAAGGTAGGGGAAATGGTTTGTTAGGATCTATTCCTGGCTAGCAATGGGAAACCTGTGGCCTCTTTCCTGTTTCTAGGAGCCAGAGAATGGGGAGGGCTTTCCATGGCTTTGGAGGAGCCCCTCAACCCCACACCTCCATTGTGGGGTTGAGCCCCTTAACCCCCCACATCCTGGTAGACAAAAGTCTACCAGGGCTGGGCACATGTCTGTAATCCCAGCAGCTCAAGAGGCTGAGGCAGGAGAATTGCAAGTTCAAAGACAGCCTCAGCAGCTTAGTGAGACAAGACCCTGTCTCTAAAAGAATATATAAAAGGGCTGGGGATATGGCTCACTGGTTAAGCACCACTGGGTTCAATCCCTGGTATTAAAAAAAATGTTTACCAGGAGAAACAGCCTTTCAAGCCCTCTCAGAGCTCTTTACATCTCTATTATTTTGCTTGAAAAGGGAAAAATAAGCAGAGAGAACTAGGGCTATGAGCAACCAAATGCACATAGCAGGAGGCTGGGCTTGTGAGCACATCTATAAATCTTTGTTGACTAAAGGAGAGAGAAATTCCTAGTGGGTTCAGGGAAGGGGTCCAAGGTTCCTGGATGTAAGGGGACTGGGGGCACAGTTAACTCTGAGGTATAATAGAAGACAGAGATAGGGAGAAAAGAACTAAAGAGAGCAAATAAAAAAATTTAAAGGAAGGAAAAAGAGACTGTAGCTGTAAATCTTCTCCCCAGACCATTTTTCTTCCAGACTGATCACTCACAAATTGCTGAGAAATCTACAAATTTTAGAGATACTGTAAATTCACTCATCCATGAAAATTACCTCATTTTGATTAAAGTTTATGTACACTGTTAACCTATACAATGTATTTTCAGATTAGATAAAGCAAAGGGAGATATATTTTTAAAA